AATGAAGTTTCATTAGTTCATAGCAATGCTTTGTTTTCCCCAAAATGGTAAAAATTCTTAGTTACAGAGAATAAGCATCAACAGCCATTTCATTTTTACAATAAAAACCACAACGAAAACCACAATCACTTAGAAAAAAAAAAAGACAAGCCTAAGAACTAGTACAATAAAATGATGCATTGAATTAAGTTACATTAATCGCATAGAATCTGTGTAAAAAGTATGTAGAAAAACACCTGATGTAACCTGTTACAGTCGTTGAGCAGTTATGAGAGGTACAGAGGGTTATACAGGTAGATATGTGTGAAACTGTCCGTATTGTTCGACCTGGGGAGGAAGAGAAGAGGGGCTGCGGCCCCTTGCATACACTGAGAAGACCCTGTTTTGAATATGGCCTCTGGAGTTTGTAAGGCATATATTAGAGGTGCACTTGCATCAGACTGGTTCTGGAACAAATTCTCCCAGGCCCTTCTGGCCTCACGGGCAAAGGTGGTGCTTGCCTCGAACGGCACACTGTGTCTAACCAGCACCCGGAGCTCCGAAGTGCATTTGGAATCTTCCTGTTCACTCACTAGAAGTGGCAGGTCTTTTGGGTCCGAGCGTGAATGGGCATCCCAGCATTCACACACGCCAAATGCATCGTTAGGACCCAGGGGAGGTTACCCCTCTGCCTGCTGACGTATTTTGGTAGGAGACTTAGCATCATTGGTAGGAAAAACCCTCTTTGTCCAAGTCCCTTCCCTCTTTCCTCACATACATGTCCGATCAGCCCCCCCCCGCCAGGAACGTTTGGCACTGAATGAATGGTCTTGGTGCCCTTCTGCTTCTAAGGAGGGCCACTGTTTTAGCTGAGGTCAATAAACTGGAATGAAGTGAAAGTCAGAGGTGTTTATCCATCGCTTGACAGTGAGATGCATGCACCACGTCACAACATTAAATCAAAGCTACAAATTGGGCCTCTGCAACCAAAGGGTATTCTTCACAGAATGGCAGCTTCATTCTCATATTACAATTAAAATGCACTGATATTCATTTGATATAAATATTATCTCCCAGGGTGGAGTGTAGGAAAATACTATACACTTACTTTTCTTTGCAAGAAATGTTTTTGCACCGTCAGTTGAATAATTTATCCTCAAAATCTGCCACAATAGGTCCTTTCTATGTACAAATACCATCTGCACACACTATCTGTGTACAAATGTCGTCTGTTCTGCAGCATCAGTCTTTGATGCCTGGGTCAGGAGATGGCTCGGGCGGTACTGAGAACACACAGACTGCCTCCACGCACACGGACTTCCTGCACGAATACTGACTCCACACCCGGCACCGCACTGTGGACTGACTCGCCAGTAACTGTGCCTACAACAGGATCCTTGGTCTGGGGGAAGTTTATTAACTTAGGATCGAGTGAACAGCTTTATTCTTAAAAAAGAAAAGACTCTGCCCCTCAGTCTATTTACAGTGATTTGAAGACAAAACTTGATTCTTGCTTCCTTCCTGGTCTGCGACTCCTCCCAAACTGTAACCGATAGGGGAGCAGGTTGAAGTCACTTACTAATTAAGCAGCTGCTAGTTTCAATGGGGTAGAATGTGGAGACCCAGCCAGGGGGATCTTTTGTACCTAAGTAGCTTTGCAGGCTTGACCCACTTTGGGAGGGTTATGCTACTCCACAGGATGTGGAGCAGCCCATAGGGACAGGACTCTGGGATTTCTTAAAAGGCTTAGAGTTTATACACCTTTGCTTCTTCTTTAAAGGCAATCATAAGGTATTAAAAGAGAAAGTGTAGGTTTAGGCTCTTTTTTAATGAAAATTTTAAGTCATCTCTACGTGGGGCTCGAACTTACAACCCTGAGATCAAGAGTCGCGTGCTTTACTGGCTGAGCCAGCCAGGCGCCCCTAGATCTCTTGGTAACAGCTTTGAACTTCACATTGTGGCCACTTAATTTCTGGCAGTTCGCTGGTGCAAGTCCTAGAGCTGGTCCCTGGCCTCCTTTTTAAGGAGAAGTGGCAGTTGGCATTCTAATCGCTAACCTTTTTTTTTTTTTTTCTTTTTTTTACTTCCTTGGGAAAGCAATACAAGGATTAAATCCAAAGTCATAGTGCATCTTAAAAGCAGCATACTTTTAGAAAGACAGTTAATAAATTACTTGTACAATATACAAAATAATGTTTTATACTGCAGCATCACCTCTGACGCCTGAGTCATTGTGAGGGCACCCGGAATAGAAATAGCAGGATGGCCTAGTCACTTTGCCAGCTCTTTTGTTTTGTTTTTGCAACCGTTTTGTTCCAGAATCAGTACGTAATGAAGTTTGATTTTATTCCAAGGCACCCCCAGATAACGCAGAGAAACAAACACATACAGCAAAGCACTCACCTGCCCAAAGCCTGACCAACCTGAATGAAGCGAGGTTGTCTGGACACACAAGTAGGACACAGGCAGATCCAAGGGGAGGACTAGATTCAGGCAGATGGTAACTAGCCAGGGGGGCCACCGCCACGGTCCCCACCCCTACAACTCATGCCCACCTATTTGGAGACCCGACTCGGCCTCGGCAGGGATCTTCCTAAGCAGTCCATGGCGGGAGGGTCCTTTATTTTTATAAGGAAGGGCCCTTCAAGCACAACTACATGTCACCATGCTGTGCAAACACTATTCCCTGTTATTAACTTGCTTTTGCTTTTCCTAAAAGACACGAGCCTCACCAAGGGGTCTCCGGTTAAGGAGACAGTCTGGTTTTTAAAACTCCACTTGAGGCAGTTTGGATTCTGGTCCCCAGCTAGTCCTCCCTTTGAATCAACCTGGAAACACTTCTGACGAACACGTGGTTCAGGGTAGTAGAAGACAAGACAGGTCACACAGACAATTGCACAAAGCCAGTCACTGTTTATGGTACATAGTGAACAAAATCATTAAGTCGTTAGAAAATCTCTAAGAAATGGAAAGAGTTTTTCAAGCAGTGTTTTTAACCAGTTCCCATAGCGGGGTTGAGGAAGAGGGAGAAATGCGAGGTGGGGGTTGGGGGCAGGAGAATGTGAGCTGAGTTAGGGTGGAGGGAAATCAGGAGGGCCCCCTCCCCCACCCGGACATGGCCGCAGCACAGGGCGAGCGGACAGAAGGACAGACGGGGAGACTGTGGAATGTGGTCAAGACTACCAGTTGCACATGAGCCGTCACCAGGGTGAATCACGCCAACAGGCTGGTTTGGACCTGGTTATGAGACTAGCAGGAAACATTCTTTTTTTTCCAAAAGAAGAGGAGGTCACTTAAAAAAGGCAACAAGAGAGTTAAAAAAAAAAAACAAAATACTGTTGGCTGACTCCTCCACCGCAACACATACCTGTGGTGCATCACATGATTCACATTGAATTTAAATTCCAGCCGTCACCAGGTTTCCACAAAGGCAAACCCCACGGTGAAGCACAGAACCGCTCCACTAGGCCAAGACATTCCAACAACTGTAATAAAAACGGCAGCTCCAACGCTGCGCCGCATCAAAATCTGTCTCAGACTAGCACACGCACATACACACGCACATGAGGAGAAACAGAAACCCAGAGGCAGGTTTTAAAAGCGGAACTATTTGAAAAGAAAAGCCTTTTTTTTTTAATCCTACCGCATGAACCAACAAATTTCTGGCATTCATACATATTTAAACATTTAGCGCTAATATTTGTACAGAAAAAAGTTAATACTAAAACATATGTTACTATGATTTCACTTTTTGCCTACATCATATACTAATTTCCCCTTTTACATGCAGCTTTAATATTGTCCAAACAATGGCACAAATAAAGAAACAAAGTCAACCGTCTACTCCCCACTGCCCACCACCCCATCCCCACATCAAACCTTTTGGGACTCTTCCTGCAGCCAGGCTGGAGGGCCCACCGGAGGGAGGGAGGGACTCCGCCTCCTCTTACGCTGGGGGCAGGGTCTGGGCACATCTTCCTGTAAACGTGGCCGGGGGCCAGCATGCCCCCAAAGCCAAGGGAAGCTGCTCTCTGTGGGTTGCAAGCCAACCAGTTTTGCAGCAAGAGAAGAAAATTACCATCAGGTGAGGGTGTGTGTGTGTGTGTGTGTGTGTGTGTGTGTTTGTGTGGCGGGGTAAGGGGGCAGGGAGGGCTCCTTGGCCATATCGTGTCCAAAGCCTCAGAACGAAATCTGCCTTTGGACAAGAGACAAGCAGAAAACCCTCAGAATTCAACTCAAAGCATTTGGAGAAGGGAGGGAGAAAGAAATTCTTTTGCCTGCGTCAGGGACAGACCCCAGGCTCACATGCGCCCACTCTCTCCTACTCTGGGCGAGCTGCATTAACCCAGGACGCCACTTACAGGCAGGACCCCAGGTGCTGTGATTTAAACTGACTCAGGTGAGAGGTCCTGGGAGCCCAGCCTGCGCAGGGGGCCTGGACAGGGGAGCAGGGGGCCGGGGTGGTCGGGTGGCTGATCAGCCAAATCCTTCCACGAAGTTCCTCCTGTGCTGCCCTTCCAAGAACAGGCAGAGGCCTGAGGACGGGTTGAAATGAATGGGACTCGCCCCCTGGGTGAGAAAATAGTTCTAACTTGATTTTTAGGAGCCAATGCCTGCTGAGTTCTGGTACAAAATCACGGGTTCCTGCTGTTTGGATGCACTTTCGAGTGGACGTCCAAATTCTCTCCCCACTTAGGAGTCTGAACATCCAGCATCAACTCTGAACTCTGCATTTAAACTTTGCTTCCGGGAGAGGTGGGGAGGAGGTGAAATATAAAAATATTCAAGCAGATTATTGTCTACACATCCTAGGATGAATTCATTATTTGGCAAGATTATTTTTCCTACATAATTATCACCTGAGTGCTTTTTAATTAGCTAAAATGTCTTACTTTTCAACTAAAAGCAAAGAATATACAGTATACTTGAGTTATACTGAAGTAATAACTTCATTTAAGAAAATAGGTTTGACCCAAAACTCAGTGCAAGTGGCAAAGTTGACCATGACTGTACAGTATCTGCAAGAAAAAAAACAACAAACCCACGACACTCCGAGGACACCGGCCGATGGTGCCCAAAGCAAACCAAACAACAACAGAAAAAGGGTCTGAAATAAAACCTCAAAAAGAAAAGCTTCCAACATTGAATTCTGTTCCATAAATAAGTACAAACTGAAATTGAACTGTGAAGCAAGAAAAATGACTATGTTAACAGTTACCAAACTAGTTCTAGCATCGGAGACAAAAGAAGAGGAATGTTGGAACCTGTTGATAAACGAGAAATGAAGTTTCCAGTTTCAGGATGAGAAAATTGAGGCATGCAGGACTTTTGCATATGGATATATATATATTTTATATATATATTATATATAATATGTACAGTCTAGCTATAAAACTTTGATGTGTATAGAAGCTGTCTTCAATGAAAAAATTGAACATTCAGAAGAAATTCCTGAGATAGGGTTTGTGACATGGGCCACTGAGAAAAAAAATCCGTGGTTGGGTCCTAGAGGTGTTATAGTCTATCCCTGTTGAGACTGAAATTAACCCACAGACAGGCAGCGTCACCACCGCCGTCTTTCCTTGCCTGGGCAAGGGGTAGCACCATTGTGAAGGGAACTGTGTATCACTCCCGCGTGGAGAGAGGAGGGAATACTTAGAAACAGTATTGCTGCTAAGAACGCTGTAGTGTGCACCAAATTCCTTCTTGGTTCTTCCAGACAACAGATGAACAGCACCGCAGGCTGACCGAGGAACCCCCTGGGGGGTCGGGGGGAGACGTGGGAGAACTGGAAGGCGGGCCGGGTCACTAGGTGTACTCTTTCCGGGGCTGCTCGTCAGTCGTACACTTGTCAGTCATCTCCTGGCAGAAGTCCACGGTCACCGTCTGGCTCCTGGATTCAAGAGGAGGCGCCCTCTCTGAGAAGGTTCCCGGCTCAGCGCCCTCCGGCCTCCTCCCGGAAGTACAGTTCTCCGGGGCGCAGCCGGGGGCCCAGGGGGGGCCGGGGGGAGCCGCTCCGGGCTCCAAGCAGCAGGGCGCGCTTTCGCCCACCGCACACTGCGCGGCGGCCAGGTTCTGCTCGACGCCCAAGGGCGCGGGGTTAATACTGGAGGCTGCGGGGAGGCCCACGGGTCTGAGGACGGGGCAGTACCGGTGCAGGGCCTGGATCTGCTCAGGGCTCTGGATGTCGCGGCAGACTTCCTGGGAAAGGCAGGAGAAGTTGTCCAGCAGCTCCCCCATGCAGGCTTTCAGTTGGTTCCTCTCTGACAACAGCTTCTCTTTCTCACACACCTGGACAACAGAGATAGAAAAGAGAGAAGGCCCCATCAAGCCTGAACGGGAAGACAGAAGCCCTGGTTTCCGGGGGTTTTCCAGCTTCCGTTTCTGCGTTTGGTAGGACAGGCTCACTCATGAATGACGAGGCCGGGATCTAGGCACCTACAAGACGTGTATTCAAGGAGCCTGGACGTGAGTTTCCTATCGGAGCAGCCTATCCAGGTGCGCCAGTGAGCCTGCCGCTTCCACTGGAGAGTGACCAGCAACATTCCCACAAAACCAGAGAACTGCAGGGAGTCAAGGCTCTGGTTTCCTGGAATTTGGGGTTTGTAGAGCATCAGCTGGAAAACTCTCAGTCCCAAACTTTGTCGTTGAAAAATCCACCCCCCCACCCGTGCATTAGGCTGCCATTTTTGAAAGTCAGAAATTGGCCAATTCCAACTTTATGACATTTTGGAAAAAGGCAATATTATGGGGGGGGGAAGACCCGTGGTTGCCAGGGATGGGGGAGGGGGAGGGATGGACAGGTGGAGCACAGAGCATTTTTAGGGCAGTGAAATTACTCAGTGTACAGTGGCGATGGATACATTGTCCAAACCCACAGACTATACCACACCAAGAGTGAGCCCTGATGCAAATTATGGACTCTGGGTGGTTATGCTGTGTGGATTCAGGTTCCTCAATGGTAACAAATGCACTACTCAAGTGGGAGGTGTTGGTAATGGGGGAGGTGGTGAGTGCGTAGGGGCAGGGGGCAGGGGAATTCAATTTTGCTGTGAGCCAAAAACATCTCCAAAAAGAAAAGTCTATTGAAAAAATGAACGAAATTCACAACAAAAATCGACCACGGGCGATTTCACATGATTCGATCAAACCTCAGCAGGCTTTCTGGCCTTTGCGGCGGACAGACGGGACAGAGCAGGTCCTCCCGGGGACAGGTGGGGACTGTGAGGTGCGTCAGGAGCACCGGCTCTCCCTGGACACGGGAAGGGCCGACAGAGGCGTGGAGACCGAGTCCTAGCAGACTAGCCTGAGGTTCCGAGATGTCCTCCTCCAAGAAAATCTCACATAAGCTCTTGTGTTCCTAAAATTCGCCATCCCATCAGAGAGATGAATTTCGCTGCTAGAGGGGAGGCTGGTGAAGGTTTCACCCGAACTCGCTGAGCGAGGAGAGATGTGGAGGCTGCAATGGGAGCACACAGTGAAAGGATGAGGAAACTGGACATCACCACCAGATGGGAGGGAGAATGGAGCGGGGGGTGGGGGGCGGAGAGGGAGCGAAAGGAGAAGAGAGAAGCAAACATACGACACGGGGGCTCCGACACGGGAGCTGCACGTGCTGCTCACGAATGCAATCTGGCAGGCAGCGTGGGCTTGTGTGTCGGAGACAGATATACACGGGGAAAGGGCACCTGCTCAAATATTTATAAATTTATCAAGAAAACATGTTTTAAAAATGAAAAATAAACAGATGTACAAGTGCAAGTTGAGAGAAATACATTATGCAAGTTTGCAAAAGCTGTGGCGTGCCACAGGCAGCGTGGGAGCGGGGAGCGAGTGTGTGTGGGCTGAGGACGCGCGGGGCGGGCCGGCCTGTCCCAGCCTGCCAGCACCACCCGGGCACCCGGGCCAGGTGGGCGGGCCCAGCGCCGACACCTGGGCCAGGTGAGCGGGCCCAGCGCTGAAGCGCGAGGGCGGTGGGTAAGAAAGGAAGTACAGCAGGGAGATCTCCTTGCGAAAAAATCTTACGTTTGTGGCCGTGCATCCCGGGGTGCCAGGAAGACCTGGGGGCCTGCAGAGATGGAGGCCACACCGCCCCGGCCTAGGAGGGCCATCGCAGTCCCCATTCTGTCACTGACCCCCTACTGATCTGCCAACTGTCTCGGGCCACTTTGAGGGAGAAGAAAATGAACTTAGGCGGCGACAGTGTTTTGGCTGTCCGCAGGAAAGGCGGTATAAACCCAGGCCCTGGTTACAGGGGTGAAGCTCTAAGTCACAGATGGACACTGATGAGTAATGAGACCCTCACTCAGTGCGGAAACGCACCCTATTATTGAAGGGGTTTCCAAAACCAGTGGGAGGAGTAGGAGATAACCTCTCCCGTTTTTCAGCTGAACAATATCAGCGGAGTGCTTTAGATATCTGCCTGGTGTGTGGTTTAGACTTTATTACTTGTTGTTTATTGTTACTGGACTTTATTATTTGTATTGCAAAATTACACGGAAAGAATTCTAGTTACAAAATCAGGCATTCCTTAAATACGGGCGATGAGAATCATTCAACTTCCTGGAGAGGGGCATGGGGCCGAAGGACCCCGGATGTGTGCTCAAGGCCCTGACGGCTCGTACTCAGCGGACTCAGCCTTGCTGGGTCCCTACCGAAGCCCCAGTGGGCTTTCAGAAGACCCACATTCACCAGCAGCAATGTCTTGCTTCCTTACGTGGCTTAAATACAAATTGTTGTTGTTGTTAAAGCAACATTAAAGAAAAAATTGAAAGAAGAAATTCGTAATCCCACAACCCAGTCACAATTTCAAATACATTTCAGGGCAACTGACATTTCCTGAGAGGCCTCCCTTGGCTTGCACTGGTGAGACTGAGAGTCAACCCAGTCACTGTCCTTGTTGTGAGGAACCTGCCGTTCGGGCCAGGGGACACAGACACACGCAGACACGCTGAGACTGCTGTGATAAGCACGAAGCCAGAAGTCAGGTCAGGGCTCCCAGGTGGGTGCTCAGCCTCACCGGGGACTCAGGAAGTTCCCTCGAGAGGGGACAGTAACTTGATTCTTAAAAGATGGAAGGATGAAGTCAGAGAAGAAAATGCTTGAGGAATGTCCAAGGTAGAGGGGAGATAGCAGAGGCACAGACAGAAGCAGAAACAGCAGGTGGCAGGAAGTGCAAAGCGTTGGATTCTGTTAGGGGTCAAGTTGGAGGACAGGAGTGGAAGGTGAGGCTGGAGGTAGTAGCTACAGACTAAACTGTACGAGCAAGAACAAATGTCTTGCTGAGAAGCTTGGGCTTTATTTTGCAGGTGAGGGGAGCCACTTCGAGGAGCAGGTTTCCCCTGCTTGGTGGGAGTTAAAAAAGAAAAAAGACCCTGAGGTCCAAGACTACCTTGATAACAGGTAACATTTACTCATTCATGCCTTTCAAATGTCACTTGTTCTTAGGTTCTCATCAGGACGGTGGCCTACCATGAGGCAAAGGATCACCACATATAGTCTGAGAACCCAGACTTAGATCATAAGCACATCAGGTGGCCTCTCTCTTCTTCAGCCTGACATGGACATGGCACCTAAGATGTTTCCAGTATTTGGCCGGCAGAAAGGTCAAGCTGAATGAAGGTGCACTGGTTGCCTTCAAAGCTAACTCAGGAGCCAGAGGCCACCTGGATTTAGCTTCAGCTTGCTTACGGAGGAGAAGGGGGCACCGAGCTCCCAGTGAGGGGATCCTGGGAGATGGGGGCTTGTTCCCTGAGACAAAAGGCATGGGGAAGAGGTGCCGGCCCCTTGGAGGCAGAATTGCAAGATCAAGGACATGGGGTTTTCGAGGGCCTTCAGGAGATCACGTGGTATCCTATCTGGATTCTACATTCTGCTGTGGGAGGCAGGAGAAAGCAGTGGTGAAAATATAAGATTTGGGTTTGCAATCAAGCTCTGCCACACAGTGGGGAGTTGGCAAACCTCTCTGCACTCGTTTCCTCCTCTGTAAATGGAGAGAAAATAGAATCTAAGTCACAGGGTTGATGTGAGGATTAAATGCGATCATTTATAAAAACAGCTGAGAATAACACCTGGTTCACACATGTATGCAATAAATGTTAGCTACTAGTACATGCTGAATGAACAAAGAACTCGCTCTAAATGCAGGGAGGCTGAAGGATATAAAATACTGAAACGTGATCACACACCTGCACAGACACACACAATTCCAGATAGAAAGCTACTACTTTTGTTGAGAAACTTGTTTAAAAATAAACCCAAACCTCCCCGAACAGTGACCCTCTCTCCACTTCTCTAGCCTTCACCATTGCAGCCTTGTATGAGTCCTGCTCACTCCGGGTTGCTGATAAAAACAAACAGGTCAACTCACCAATTTGCGGATTTCACATTCCAAATTCTGAATACAGTCTAGTTTCCTCTTGCGGCAGCGCTGGGCCGCGATGCGGTTCTTGCTGCGCCGTCGGACGTCGTGAATGAACTCTAACTGTTCTGAGGTTAGCTTGTGCATCTTAATCATCATCTGGAAATCGTTCCTTGGAAGATCTGTGATTTGATCTACAGGAAAGGGAAGTTTGACCTGAAACCAAGAACAGTAGAATATGATTATGGTGGTTGGATTTTAGTTTGAATACCAGCTGGCAGAATATATAAAAAAAAAAAAAAAAGGTAAAACCTTTTAAAGATGACCAGATAGTACGGAAACTATTGAAAGCAAGCAGTGATTAATTCTTTCTTGTCTCAGATATATATAAGATGTCACATTTAGAGAGTCAAACAGAACGTGAACACACAAATTGTAACATGGTTATCGCTCCTGAGATTTCTGAAGCAAACAGCATGGGAGATACTGGAAAATGTGGACTTTTTCACTGTTACAGCAATTCTCTAAGAAAGGCTATATAGTTAGTTGAAACCTACTTCCATGGAGCCTCGACTCAATAAAATATCATCATCTAAGGAATTATCTGAAACACTTGAATGAGGAGAGCACCACACACCTCGAAGAGGCTGGAAAGACGAAACAACCAGTGGGATTTTCAGTAACACGGCATAAGAAGAGGCAGCGAGAGAACTCGGGTAGTCTACACCGGGGTGGACTAGGAGTTGGAAGTGGGCTTTAGTCCTTCCACCAGACATGAGACCTCAGGCTAGTTACCTTACTTCTTTGAGCCTCAATCTCCTCATCTGCAAAATGGGGCGTGCTTCTGAGCTGGCTAGGGCTCTACAAAGCTGGGCACTTTGGCAGATTGTATTTTCCAAAAATACAATGGCCATCCCATCTCACGTTTCCTTTTACAACATGATGTTGACTTTTCCCTATCCAGAGGCGGGATGCACGTTTCTGCCTCTGGATCATCACCATGCGGTGGGAGTCATGGTGTGTGGCTTGAGGCTGGGTCATAAAAGGAGCTGCAGCTTCCTCTTAGGCTTCTTGGGCTGCTCCCTCTGGAGGAAAGCAGCTGCCAGGCCTATAGGACTCCCAGGCAGCCCTGTGGAAGGCCCAGGCCCGTGTGGAGAAGAACTGAAGCCTGCAGCCAACAACCAGCATTACCCGGCCAGTCACGTGCACGAACCACCCTGGACGTGGATTCTCCAGGCCCCGTCAAACCTCCAGAGATGGGAGGCCCCAGCCACTGACTTCAACCTCATGAGGTATCCCAAGCCAGAAGTGCTCACATGGGCCACTCCTGAGTTCTGCCCCACAGAAACGGTGAGATCTTAAACGATTTAAGCCACGGAGTCTGGGGATGATTTGTTACGCAGCAGTGATAACCGATGCAGATACTGTCAGCAGCAAGATTCCAATGTCCAGACTCTTGACAAAGGCAAGTAAGCATTATCCAAGGAGAGGATGAGAGTCTCTGGATGGATGGATCTGTGTCCTCCTTATATTCTGTCAAATGCACAGGCCTGGATCTTCAGCACTGCCTTCTCCAAGACTCTTACTGATGATGCAGGGACTTCAGGGTTTGGTTCTGGTTCTGTTTCTGAAAAGGAAGGTTGCGTGTTGCTTGGCTAAGAGACAAAGTGTCTGTCTCCTGGGCTCAGCTTCGCTTAATTCTTGCTTACATCAGCATCCGCTTTCGATGGACCAGCAGATGGCGCTATAAACCTAAACTTCCTTCAAGTGCCAGCCCCGCGCTGTTCAATGCAAACACGAGCTGTGATTTTGCATTTCTAGCAGCCACATTAAAGGGAGTGAAAAGAAACAACTGAAATTCATTTTAATAGTATATTTAGTTGAGTCCAATAGGTCCACAATATTTTCAACATGTAATTAATATAAACCTTATTGAGATAGTTTACTTTTTTAGCGCATTTTCAAAATTGGGAGGCGTAGTTTGCACTTAGCACAATTCAGAACGAAGCACATTTCTAGGGCTCGATAGCCACGTGTGGCGTGTGGCTGCTACACTGGACAGCATAGCTCTAGGAGACGGAACGAATGGGACGCAGTGAACTGGAGTAACCAGAAAAACAGGAGGATCCGGGTTTAATTGATCAAAATATTTACAGGTGCAGAAACCGAGCCCTCGTTAACATTCAGAAGCTGCAGTGTTATGTCTGCGTCGTTCAGGGGAGTCAGATGAAGATACTCTATTCTGAGCTCAGGCTTTTGCTCTGATTGCATCAGATGCAGGAAGACGAGTCTAAATCCTGGCATTTATGGCTAGTTAATCCCCCCACACAAAGGCATTCAGACTGCACGATCATTTGACTTTTCTGTGGCTGGATGCAACTGCTTTGTCAGGTTCCTTCATAGCTCCGGACCCTGCCAGACGTGGCATTTGCCGAGGGCTCCCAGTGGGTGCTCTGATTCAACTTCCGTCTGGTGAACTGTATCCCGTGACACCTGTACAATTTTGGCCCAAGAAAGCAACATCGCAACCGCACACATTCCACCACACTCAGTGCAGCCCTGCTGCCACTGCAGGGAAAGCCAGCAGGCTTTGTCCATGGGCTGTGTCTGCACAGGGCCTGGATATGAAGAACGTTTGCTTTCCCTTTATACCCTTTGGATAACAAACAGATACTCCAATCCTGGACAGTGCCTAACTCACACGGGGATCAGCCAGGCGGGGACACGGATGTTTCCACACCAGGCGGAAGCCTTGTTTGCACCCAGAGGTTGCAGCACCGTGGGGCCTCGTGCAGTCTCCCCCTCTGCCGACAACAAAGCAATGCTGCTTCTGCGCTGAATCCTGTTTACTTCTTTTCCCAAAGAGTATGTACCTACAGTTCGGGCCACAGGGAAGTCAAAAGGCCTTCTAGACCGAGAGCTACTGTATTTAAAATCAACCAGACAGCGAATATAAAACACCAGGGAAAGAGGACAGAGGTTGACAGGAAAAGGAAAAATCAACAATGATCGTTTCAAAGTCCTTGAAGCAAAAGGCCATATAAAGTTTGGGCAGAGCTGTTGCAACTCCAGCTGCTTTTTAAAGAGGTCAAAGGAAAAGAAAATAGTCAGCTATAGACCTTCTTCCATGGGAAAGAAACCCCACAGCCGACCACTCTTGTTTCTTCCTAATAGGCTCTGTTGGCCCTCAGGCAAGGGAGAGCTTCCACGGACTACCAAGAGGAAGTCCCAAAGTGTGCTTGGGATGCAGGAGTGGTTAACTTGGCCACAGCTCTTTTTTATTGGCAGAGCAGTAAGTTCCAAGCCAGTGGACATCTTCCCTGGTGATAAAGAGCAGCCAGAGACCCCCTTATGGATCGGGGAGAATATTCCATTCTTAAGCTTGCAGGCCCCCCAACACTCCCTGAACGGGGCTCAAAAGTCAGCTAATGCGACTTGGCCTTCGAAGGCTCAAATGCTTCAGAAGGGCGGAGACCCTTCTGCCGTTCTTCTGGAGAATTCTTAGAACCCAAATAGGCCCTAGAGGGCTTACCATCTTATTTATTGTCCCTCCACACACTTCTTCTTCCAGGATTTTACTTCGCAGCAGTGGTTTCATTTTCATTCACTGGACTCTCAGAAACAGTGCGAAACACCCAACGTAACAAGATGAAACGTCCTGCCAGTTCCCTTCACCACATGTCTGAGCGCTGGCCTGCACCTGCTGTCAGCTACCAGATGCACAGAAGGTGAAGCCCATCAGGCCTCGGAGGCTAAGCATGCTGCATAGCAGGGGAAGGGCCCGCGGGGCTGAGGGTACTGATTTCTCATGGGTGCTGCTCATCCCCACCCCTCCCCCCGCCTCGGCTTTCGGTAGCGACTCCGAAAATGAGGCGCAGCCCCTGAGTCAGCAAGGTGTAGCCCGTGGGCCCAACAGGACCCCCGGCATGGTCTGCTACTGTTGACTTGCTACTCCCTCTCCTCCTCGGCCCTCTGGAGCATGACTGGAAGAACAGGACAGAGGGCTCTTCAGCCCAGTTGCAGGACCGAACTGATAAACAGCAACCGGAGCAGGGTTAGACGTTCTGAGCACTCCAGCTCATGAGCACCTGGTGAGATGGGGGGCCTCCTCTCACCCAACAGAAATCCATTGTTCTACTTCTCTCCTTACCAACAACCACCCTGTTCTGCAGCCAGAACTACTCTTTGCTCCCAGTTTAGCAAAAATAACCATTAAAAAGTATATAAGAAATATAACTTCTTGCAGAAAATTCAAATATGAGACAAAAGAAGAGACAAAATTCCCACCCCCCCAAACAATGGCTGTCTTGCTCGGATGGGCTCCACTGTGACCTCTGCTTCCTCTGTATCTTTTGTGCAGGGTTGTAAGCAGACCACAGCCACCTCGCCTCACCATGCCTCTTACCACATTTCACTTGCCCGGAGCTGCTGGTCTGCTGAACGGGAGCTACTGGAGAAGCAGGGCAACGACGCAAAGGTTGCAGAAAAAGCTGAAAGCAAGCATTTCCTCTAGAAATCCCAGCTGAAGCTGGTTTGCAAATCTTCTTTCCTGCCTCCTTTCTTGGTTTCACTACCAGATGTTGAATAGAAGCCGCAGGAGTCGGATGCTAACAGTACCCCGAGGCCCAACACCCTTGACACCTATACTCTTACAAGACCCTGGGATCTCTGTGCCTCGTCGGGCGGTAGGGGGAAGCAAGATGCCCACTGGGCTGATGATCCAGTGCTGCGGGCAGCGGGACAGCCAGGTCCGTGCTAGACAGATGCCCGAGGCAGAATCTCCCATCTCCACTAAGAAACGTTTCCTGCACAACTGTCCTTCTACCCTCTATTCGCATGGTCCAGTTTGCAGAACAAATGCAGGACACCTGGGATTTAGTTGTACTGCAATTAATTAGCTGTCTGACTTCAGGCCAGTCTTTCATTCTCTCTGTCCTGAAGTTCTTTGAGGATCCGTGAGAGAGAAAGATAATACATGCCCTACTTAGTAGCTTACAGGATGGCTATGAAGAGTAAAATTGGGTAAAAGATGGAGAAAGTGCTTTGAAAAGTCTGAATTGCCTGATAGATATGAGGTATTATTAATTCTGTTGATTAGTCCTATCTTTCTTTGTCACATGGTTTCTTCTTCCAGACAGACAGTACGCTTTGGAATTCCAGATGCTAGGAACATCTTTCTAGACAACACAAAAACATCGTTTTAATTAGAAATACGG